TATATATATATATGTATATATATATATATGTATGTGTATATATGTATATATATATATATATAAGTTTAAAAATATGTAAGATGAAGCTGAATTCCTGGTGGTATTGCTTTGAATGCTCCTTAGCCGCCTTCTTGAGGGGAGGGGCTGAAAGAGACTGTGTGCAAGATGAGTGGAGTCTTTCATGATGCGGAGTGCCCTCCCCCTGCATCGTGATATGTAGAGGTCCGAGGTGGTGGGACAGCTGCTCCCCAGTCTTCTGTGCAGTCTTAACCACCCTCTGCAGAGTCATCCTCTCAGCAGCAGTGCAGCTGCTGTGCCACATGTTGATGCAGGTGCAGAGAACGCTCTCCACCACACAGCGATAGAAGCTCATCAGGACAGAGCTCCCAAGTCAAGCTCTCCGCAGGTTCCTGAGGAAGTAGAGATGCTATTGGGCCTTCTTGACCAGACAGGAAGTGTGGGCTTTCCAGGTGAGCTCACTGGATATGTGCACCCTGTTACCTGTAGCAGGAGACCACCTCCACAGCTGCTCCTCCAGTATGTAGGGGATGAAGAGAATCCTTGTCCTTTCTGAAATCCACCACCATCTCCTTGCTTTGAGTGGAACCTTGCAGAACCTCAAACCATCTCCATAAGCTTAGGAGCAAAATACTTTGCAACTGGTACACAGGTTGAAAGTGTTGCTTTAATATTGCCTCATGGTAATGGGAACCTCCTTGCCAGAGGCAATTGGTCATCAACATACAGGTTTACAATGACACTCATCCACTGCAACCATTATTCTTCTGGCAGAAGACTGGTGGTTCCTCTGGTAAATAAAAATGGGTACAGGAAGTCATTTGTTCCCTCTGCTGTGAGTGTCCATTGTCTGCTGGAATGTTTTATAGTTTTAATGTACTGTGTATTTTAGAATGTCTTCATTGGGTTAGCAAAGCTGTTTAAAAGTTTTATGGTGTTTTGTCAAAGTCTCCATCTCATGGAACGTTACAGATGATTTGATTGATTGATTTCACTCATTGCCCTGTGATGGACTTGCGACCCGTCCAGGGTGTACCCCGCCCCTCGCACGGTGATTGCTGGACATGGGCACCAGCGACCCCCGTGACCCAAAATGGAATAAACGGGTAAAGATAATGGATGGATGGATGGATTTCACTCATTTATCACAAACTGTGCAGTAGGCTTTGATGCGTTTTTAGTGGGCATCATAGATAATACACAAATGTAAAAAAAATAAATAGAACATGTGCATATCTTGACAGCTTTAGATCATCTTGTGATGAAAATGGGATAGAGATGTAGCCATTTTGATCAAATATTCGTAAATGACGTTAATTTTGTGAGATGTGTCAGTGCTCAGTTTTGAGGATGACTTTCAGCTACTACCACACCAAAATTAGCTTAATATGTGTATAATTACCAGAGTTTAAGGCATTTTTAGAGTTAGTTATTTAGCTGTGGTGGTCATCTTAAAATTGTGCTGACTCCAAAAAAGTTATTGGTGCACAACCAATACTGTCTGCAAGTTTCTTTTTTTTTTTTTTTTTTAAAGTCCACTGGGTTATGAGATATTTTGTTGACACATTAACACAAGCACAGTTAAAAACATTACCCACTTTTGCTCGCCACCAAAAAAAAAACACCCAATGAAGGGATTAAAGTGTATTGAGAAATGTTGAGAATTTTATTTCAGAATAGCACACAGGTGAGATCTGACACGCTGAAGATCATTTTGTTTCTCATCAAAAACTAAAAATAGCAGACTTTCTTTCTGTGGAGTTTTCCTGGATTGTAATAGTTGAGTCAGAGCTGATAATTTTTATGACAGCACAGCACAGGGTATTTTATTTTTCTCGTTAAATCTTACAAATGAATTTGTTCAAGTTGTGTCTGATGCTTTAACAATAACCATCTTTGTGCATGTTGCAAACATTCTAACCTTCGCTTAAATCTAAAAAGTAGAATAAAAATAATCTTTCGTTTGGTGTTTAAGAACTAAAAAAAAAAAGCCTTTTTTTTGGTACTTTAACCTTTTTTTCTAAACAGCTAAAATGCATCACGATGTCACTTTTTGGTTGTTGGGTGGAAATAAAAGGTGCTGCAGTTCAATATTTTACACATTATATACAAGACTATTTGCCAAATCTTAAAAGAGTGCATAAACAAAAAGTTATATTATATTTAAGTCAAATAAAATAAAAACATGAAAAATACAAGCATTCCATACACTAGGATTTTCAACTGAACACGAACAACAACGCAATTATAATTCAAAACCGGCAATCACTTTTGTAAGACATCAAGAGGAAAAAGCCAGACTCCGCCTCTGAAATCACCATGGCAACAAATCTGACGAGCCAAAAGCGACGGCAAAAGAAAAAAAAACAACAACGCACTTCTGCCACGACAGTCACAGACACATCACCTCACCACAACAACTACTACAGCATATCGCCATGCACGTTGCGTTTGTAACAGCAGTCCTGTCACATGACTGGCGGCTGCACCGACCAATGGGAGCTCTGCTGCAGACGTTTGGGACACGGTGGATAACATCTGGGAAGCCACCCTTCACAATCATAGAATAAGAAATATTGACTCCAATGGACGATAGAAATAGTTTAAATACGTTAACTGCTGGAACAGTTTTGGCACTTTTAAATATTTGTTACAAAATATAATGTTGCACGTTACTGTTGAGATTAAAAAGCTGTTTTAATCTAAGGTTTCTGACACCTTTTGATTATACAAACTAAGCATATTGGTATTTTTCAAAGTGCTTTAACTTCTTTAATGTTTGGTCGGGATTTTTAGCAGAAGGCAACGCTGCGTAACTCAGCTCAGTGACCCTAAGAGGTACAGTCCCTCACTACTCTACGTCTTTGTTACGCCTCACTTTTAATCTTTACGTTACAATTAATTTGAAAAACTTCCCATAAATCTGCACAAAAGGCCTTCAATAAGTTTTGGAGCCTGTCAGCTTAGTTACTCCATATGGCAACCCGTGTTGCGTCTGATGGATATTTGAGTAACGGACAAAACTGATTGGCTGCAAGACCGAGTTTTCGTGGAGTGCACAACAGCAAAGAATGAAGTCTTTAAAAAAATTATTCACTTGAAATTTGGCCTGGATGAATATTACAAATCCTATCTTTTGTATCTTGAATAACTTGTGTAAATGTAGCAACAAACCCCACAAAGAACAAGCAAAATGTGGTCTGGACCCTCACGAAGCTGACTTAAACTCAGAGGATGATGAAACATATCGCTGCCAGAGGCCTGTTGTTCTCTTCGGCTGTCTTGCCTTGAAGCCGACAACTTTTCCACAGTTTTAGCCACTGCGGTGGCTTCCGTCTCCGGTGCGCTGTACCCGAGACACGACCACCTCTCGGGACACTCTCTTGCGGTCCTTAGCCAGACCCAGGACGCACATGAAGTCGATGAAACAGGTGGTGAGGTTAAACTTGCAGCCGAACTCACTGGTCGCATAGTCGAAGGGAAACGTGTGGTGATAATTGTGAAATCCCTCACCTGTGAGGAACGAGAAGGAGGAGTCAGAAATCCCCGTAAATACATTCAAAACTTTTAAGAATACAGGATCTCGTAGCTAAAACAGCACAAAATATTTACACAATAAACTTTTAAAAAACTGACGTGAATTGGTTTAACTGAAGACGTCAGTTTTTATTCTTCTAGACTTCTCACATCATTCCACCCCTTGTTTCGCCTATCGGTCTTGATTTTCACACCTGTAGTCACCTGAGCTTCCTCTTTTCTTCACTTACCTGCATTCACGTCACTAAAAAGCCCCTGAAGTATTTTTTGCTGCTTTTAATATAGTTCATTATAAAGTGATGTTATTTTAGGTGAAGAACACAGAAAGACTTGAATTTCAGGAGGAAGTTGCACAAGAGTTAAGAACAGACAATTGTACTACTTTTACTTTGAAGGGAATACTACTACACCTTTATTAGATAAACTGTAACAAAGTGAGGTCAATGGAAACTGGGATTCTTAGAAGTACAGCAGTCCCTCGCCACTTCGCAGCTCGTTTATCGTGGTTTTTCAAAATAAGATTGAACATGACACAACTGGCTGATTGATGGATGAGGCGCACGATCGGTGTGGAATTTTTTATTCAAAATAAATTTTTAATTATTTAGCACCGGCTGCACCTTTGTGCATCCCACACTGCAGGATAAGCTTCCTGCTGCAGCTGATCAGCTGTTCTCAGTGCAGAGCGGAGAAGTGGGCGTGGCCAAGAGCGCTTGCAGGTGGCAAAGAGCAGATGAGGCAAGGAGCTGAAATCATGACATTCTGTGCTCATTTAGAGTTTAGAAACATTGTTTAGAATATTGCGAGAGTGTGGGAAGGGTTACATATACATATCCTACTTACTACTTGTATTACTATTCCTACTTTGTGGTTTTTCCACTTATCGTGGGTCTTCAGGGTATGGATCCCCTGCGATAAACAAGGGACTACTGTATGTCCTGTTCAAAACATCACAGAATGTCATGAATACCACATGTTCTCCCACCTTATTGTTTTGTAAGAAAAGTAAACCCACAGTTGTACAAATTGTAGACAAACACCAAATTAAATAACTAAGATTAATGTCATTTTTTAGACTCCTATAAACTGAATTGCTTCTTTAAACTGCTGCACTCACATTTTTGCAGGATTATATTTAATGAACAGGGCAAGTTGGTTAAAAGTGACGGTTTTAAACGTTAAATATTTGTTTTATACTCCACTCAATTTGAAATCAACTTTAATGCAGGCATTACACATTTAAACAACTATGTAATGCAGTGTTTTGTATAAAGATATAAATAAAAGTGACAATTTTAAACTTTTAAGCCCTCACTTTAGCTATATTCTTATTCACTGCTCAAATAATAATAATATCCATCAAATCAAATAATTAGTTGTGACTGTTAAGAGTAGTTTTCTTCACTGCCCTAAAGTTGCAAATGCATTTGTCAGTAGGCCTGTCACGATAACAAATTTTGCTGGGCGATTAATTGTCTCAGAAATTATTGCAATAAACAATAATATTGTTTGAAATTTACAATAATTAGTAATTATTGTCAAATTTAAGACGAAATGTTGATTGATTTGTTTTGAGTGTAGTACTGTTTTTGACCACTGGATGGCAATATAAGAATGTTTGAACCGAAGGATGGATAGTGAGGGAGCGAGCAGCGTGTCTCTTTAAGAAAAATGGGAGGGAGGTCCCTTGACGTGACATGGGCTGTCTTTCTTCGGTTCTCAAAATGGCGGACGCTCGGTGTGGTTTGATTTCTTTAGCATAGCATTTTTCACACAAAACTTTTAATTAAAAAAAATCAGTAAACAAGTTCTCAGCTTCTTTTTTAAAAGAAAAACAACGTTTTAGACGAAGGCACAGGTTTCAACCGTGAATCTTGGAGCTTTGACAAGATGGAGGTTTTTCCCCGAGGTCAGCCTGTTAGCTTAGCTTCTCAGCTTAGCTGCTTGTAACGATCCAAAAACACGATTTTGGGCGGTTGAAACAGATTTCAAAGAGAAAGGGAGGGATCAGTGAAGAGCACAAGAGTTGAACTTTTTATCATCCAGTGTCTTCAGAAGAAAGAGAGAGACTAAGAAACGATAAAGCCGATAAATGAAAGAGGTTGATAATTTTAACTATAATGCAATTAACTGATTTACTGATTATTGCGACAGGCCTATTTGTCATATACATATTTGTGTGTTTTCATACCTATAGCGCTGAAAGCGACAAATCTGTTCTCCCGGGGGTTGATGTTCTTGTCGTAGGGTCTGTTTCCCCACATGTGAGCTGCGCTGTTGACCAGCCAGCTGGCGTTCAGCACCATGGCATACCTCAGCAGACCCGGGATGAAGTACGCCACCCAGAGGGACTCCCCCCAGAAGTGCCAAGGCACAAACATGGGGACCAAGAAGCACATCAGCAGCACCGAGAGCTTGTAATACCTGTCGAGACAACAAGGGAGGGTGAGGAGAAGCTGGAATGAAGTGGTTGCCTTAATGGCAGAATAAAGAAAAGTGACCCTCTGATTTTTAAACAGGGACTTCCTTTCTACCACGTTAAACCAGAACTTTGACTACAAGTTGCACAAAGTCCTATGTGGGTTACAGATTAATGCGCCTTTCTGAAGAGTTCTGAAAAATAAAACAGAAAGTTGTGTCCTTACCTCCTTTGGAACATTACAACTTTGTCGGACAGCAGGTCGCTGAGCTCCAGCTTGCCTCCTTTTTCGATGACATCAGGATGTTTGCGCACCAGCAGCCAACCGATGTGGGCAAAGAAGAAACCCCGGCGGGCGTTGTGAGGGTCGGCGTCCGTCTCGGAATATTTGTGGTGGACCCTGTGATCTCGAGCCCATTCGAAGATGTCGTTCTGTGGTTGAGACAGTGATTGCACACGCTGCTGATATGACGTAAAAACTGCATCTGTTAAGAGAAGTTAACTTTCTTTTTATTTCTTTACCTCAAATGCCATGGAGTTGGCAACAGCGAGGAAAATCCTTAAAGGTAATGAAGCCTTGTAGGTTCTGTGGCTCCACAGACGATGAGCCCCGGCAGTAATTCCTAGAGCGCTTATCAAAAAACAGAGTAAAGCTGTGGACAGAAGGAAATTGCTACTTTAGTCAAAACACACGATCAGTATTTTGTTTTTGTTTTGTGGAGAATCCCCAGTGCAAAGGCTTGATGATGAGGAGAAACTAAACAAATGATAAAGATAAGGTAGTTTTAATAGACGTGGTTTCAATTAATGCATCATAAAAACAACCATTTGGTGCCTTTGATAAGAGGAATCATCTTCGATAGATTAGAAATAAAACAGTCATGACTGTCACACGATTCCTGTCAGAAGAGCCTGAAGGAAGTTTTTTGTCATTAACAGCCAACAATTAAAAAGAATGGGCTAAAATCAGATCTGGAAGTAGCTTGAGATTCAATCACAACACACATTGAGCATGAAGTTGACATTAACCTTCAATATGTATATTGTGACCAGTGTTGTCATAGTTACATTGAAAAAGTAACTTAGTTAATTTACAGATTACTTGGTTTGGAAAGTAACTAAGTTAGATTACTAAGCCTAATTTATGACAGGAAAGATGAGAAACAGATCTTTGGGTTGACAAAGATGAGCGGTGTTATTTGGCAAAATGTGTTTTAAACACAGGCAGAATAAAATAATAATTTACTTACACCAAAGCAAGGTTAAATGAGATGCTGAGGGGATGAGGAAGGCGCCATACAGAGCCCCTATATGCAACAGAGACATCATTATGACATTTCTCCACACGATGATCATGGGGGGTTTGGGGCCTTCTTTCTCCCTGTACGTGGTATCAAACGCATCCTCCACCCCGGCTGCATCTGAACAGACGGCCCCGTTCTGGCCCCACTTGTGCTGTTGCCTTTTCTCCAGCGTCTCCGTCATTTTGGTTGAATGTTGCTCTAAATTCAAAGATAAAAAATAAAAAAAGCTACTGCGGTGTTTTAAGCCCTTCGAACGCAAGAAAACAACGAAAAAAAAATCTCGTATTTTTTTAAGCTAGCAAGACTGGTAAAGATGCTAAGTTTAGGAACGATGGGAAAAAAACGGAAAAAAACAAAGATAATGCTGATTTATTGTGCGTACGAAGCTCGTGACGTTGCATAACAAGGATGTAAAAAATAAAATACGAGTTTAAATTACTCACCAAAGAAAAGCAGACGGATGACAGTTAGATTCGTTGGCGTTAAAAAGGATAAGATGCCGGTCCGGCTGACCCAAAATTACAGTAACCCAAAAAGGGCGAGCGATATTCCGCTTCGCAATGAACGCATCAATGAGTGATGGAGCTCGAGCTGCGTTTGACCAATCAGAAGCTCGGATGCCTCCTAAAAACTCGAGCTCTGATTGGCTGTCTGTTTATCTCATGTTCACCTTTTATTCATTCTGTGGCCAACCGTGATGTATATTTACCTCCTCCGGGGAACAGCTGCTGCTGTTTTTCCACCTCTGTGTAGACATGCAACTCAACCAACCGCGCTCGTATATTTTAATAATTACAATTTCACAGCCGGACGAGCAGAGCAACAAGTTGAAACGATGAAAGCAGAGCTGCACGCCAAACCAAACAGAGGAGAAAAAGACTCGAGTTTCTTAAGCACTAAACTCCACTAAAAAAACGTATTTATAAATTGATATCCAAACGCACATTCTCAGAGAATTAGAACAGCTACAGATGAATTAGGTGTGCACTTTGCTTTTAAAGCTACCATTTTTTTTTCTACTTAGTGAGAAATTTTTTTTACATTTTGCAACAAACAAATAGGTGATGGGTTGAACTAAAAAAAAAAAGATTCTAATCATAGGACCAAATTTTAAATGAATAAAACCTAAACTGAACCGGGTCAAAAACGTGTAGGTTTCCATCATCATGACCTACATTTAAAATCCTGGCGATTTGTCGCCATCTAGCGGTCATGTGAGGTACGACAGGGAAAGTCGATTAAAAGAAACGTCTCAATGAAATATCTCCGCACGGGCAGAAACAAAAAACGACCCGAATACCGATAAATTATTTTTTACATCAACTTGCTGACGTTAGTCTGTCTACAGCAGCCACGTGGTGTGATCAGGACAGCAGCTTTGTTTTAGTCGCGGATGCTGATGCTGCTGCAATGGAAGTAAACAAGGACGAAGCGGAGCGCTGCATTGACATCGCGGCCGCGGCTTTAAACAGCCACCAGCTGGAAAAGGCGTTAAAGTTCCTAGAAAAAGCGCAGAGACTCTTCCCGACAGAGAAAGCCAAAGGTAAGAAAAACATCCAATGTCGAGGGAGGAGGAAGCCCCTGCAGCTGCAGCATCACCTGCATCCTAAAGAGGCTGCGCATCCCGCGGCCTGTAGCTTCACAGCTAAGCTGGCTTACTTACAAATTAACCAAAACATAAAACAAATCACTTTAATGATATTAGTAAAGATCATATGAACAAATAATGCTTATCATTTGAATATGAAACATATAAACCAACTAAAAAGGCAGAAGCAGGAATAGCCTAGATTACCAAAATTCCTAGCATCTTTCATTTGAACCATAACTATTATGGTTCTGGTCCAAATGCAAACACATCACAGCAAAAGACCAAAATTAAATATGACCACATTTGGTTTTAATGTAGCCATAATGTATTTTTCCTATTAAAGAATGTTTGGGAAAATTAACCAGAAAAAAAAAAAATAAACTTTAATGGTTCTTTATCTTCTTGAATTAGGTGGGTTTAGATAATTAATTTGTTAAAGTCAAATTGTGGTTTGTCACATTTAAGCTTCAATGGATAATTAAATTATTATTTAAACGAGCAGCACTTGGAGAACATGTTGAAGATGACTCTCAGCCACTACCCTGCCAATGCTTGTAAAACTGGTAGGTTGATTAGCTGTGGTGGCCATCTTGAATTGGATTAACTCCTAAATGTTAACGAGTTTTAGATGTGCAACCAGTGATTACTCTCCAGTTGTTTATTTTAAATTTGTCCAGTGGTTCATGATATTTTGCTAACAGAAAGCAAATATGTGTGTGTTGGCAGTGATGCACAGCTACTATCCCACCCAAACCGTAGCTCAATATCTGTAAAACTGGCTGAGTTACAGCTATTTTTGCATTTTCTAAGCTCGGCTGGTTGTGGCGGCCATCTTAAGCTGTGCTGAGTTCAGAAGGTAAGGAGTTGTAGATGTGTATCCAATGTTTACTTACTAAGAGTTTCACTAAAAATTGTCCAGATAGTTATTTATTAAATGATCACACAGACACAAACAAAAACATTGTTTTATTTTTTGCCATGGATAATGATAATACAGTTGGATCATAATTTTGTGTTTTTGATTTGAACTGGTATCTTTTCTGAAATTCTGATACAAAGAATAATTTGCTAATTGTTTTATGGCACTAAAACACTTAAGAAGCAATTAAAACTCAGCAAGTTGTGCCCAAACTAATTGTACTTCAGCAGAGGTTCAGAATACCATATATATTTAAAATATCTTTTAGTGACAGTCATACTCTGACAGTATTGTTGTTTTTTTTAGGCCTGTGCTTCTGTGAGCTTGCAGCTTCTCTCAGAAACAAAGAGATATCTTGGAACAGATGTAAAAATCACCATAAATGCTAGAAAAGATGCACCCGCTAAAAGGAATTCATTCAGTTCAATTCAGTTTATTTCTGTAGCACCAAGTCAAAACAGAAGTTGTCTCAGGGTGCTGTACAAAAAACATTCACATACAGTAAAAAAAAAAAAAGCCAATCAATAAAAGTTATTGATCTAAAGAAGCCAAAGATTGCACTGAACCTTCACTTCGTCGCAGTCTCCCATCCTGAGCAAGCACAAAGGCAACAGTGGAAAGGAAAAACTCCCTTTTAGCAGGAAGAAACCTCCAGCAGAACCAGTCTCAGGATGAGCAGCCATCTGCTTTGACTGGCTGGGTTTGAGAAAACAGGAAGTAGAAACAAACGAACAGAATTGCAGGTCCAGGTGAACTTTCTATAAGAGGAAATACAAAAAAAACACATGTTAAGATAATTACAAATACAAACAAGTAGAGTAGAGCAAGTCAAGACAGCAGCAGAGTGAGGAAATGTGGTCACTTTGTCTTCCAGCAGTCTAAACCTATAGCAACATAACTAAGGGATAGCTTAGGAAACCCAAGCCAACCCTAACTATAGGCTTTATCAAAAAAGAAACCCTTAAGCCCAGTCTTAAAACTGGACAATGTGTCCGCCTCAAGGACAGAAACTGGAAGTTGGATCCACAAGAGAGGAGCCTGATAACTGAAAGAACGTCATCTCATTCTACTTTTGGAAACTCTAGGAACCACAAGTGAACCTGCAGTCTGAGAGCGAAGTTCTCTTTAGGAAGATATGGAACAATGTGATCTGTAATATAAGATGGAGCTAGGTTGTTGAGAGCTTTGTAGGTTAGAAGTAAGATTTTAATTCCATTCTGAATTTGAGAGGAAGCCAATAGAGAGAAGCAACAAAAACTGGAGAGATATGATCTCTCCTGCAAACTCAATACACAATGTGTGTGTTCAAATATTTTATATTGTAACTCATTTTACTGAACATCTAACCTAATTTAGGTGCTGCTTTACATCATCTGCTGGTTTTAAAGCCATTATAATACACTTACAGACCATACTCTTTTCCGTTCATATTTCATCCCTGTCATTCTGTCTATCAGAACTCCTAGATTTAATAGCCAGGAATGGGTTCAGTCCAGGACGAGGCGGTCACTCAGACTTCGGTGACGCCTCAGGTCCTCGACAGCGACCGAACAGGGAAGATCACAAACCTGAAGAAAAGCTTCCAGACAACTCCAAACCGTTCACGGCAGATCAGCTGGATGCAGTCAGAAGGTATGCGCTAACTGCAGCGTGTTGTGGATATAAATCGTTCTTCGCATTGCACTTGACATTTCTAACCATGCGCCCAGGATAAAACAATGTAAAGACTTCTATGAGATTCTCGGGGTCCAGAAAGACTCCTCAGAGGACGAGCTCAAGAGGTCGTACAGAAAACTGGCTCTGAAATTCCATCCCGACAAGAATCGCGCTCCAGGTGCAACAGAAGCATTTAAAGGTAAGCTCACCACACATGCTGCCATGAAAGACAGTTGTTCCAGAAAGCTTCACTGTGTTCCTTCACAGCTATCGGTAATGCCTACGCTGTTCTGAGCAATGCTAAGAAGAGACGTCAGTATGATCAGTGTGGAGAAGAGGGACGATGTCCATCGAACAGGAGCTCCGACAGTGGAAGCTTTGAGCCAGACATTTCACCTGAGGACCTCTTCAACATGTTCTTTGGAGGAGGTTATCCATCCAGTGAGTGCCACTGCTTTGTGCATTTACCACTAGGGATAGTTATTATGATGCGTCTGTTAAAATCTGAACTGTATCATTCTAGGTAACACTCCGATGTACACTAATGGACGGATGCGCAACCAGAGGGCGAGAAGAGAGAGACCAAGAGATGTAAGCCTGACTTGGAGACAATATATTCTGCCAGCAGGGGGCGATATTTAGTCAACAAATCTATTTTTTTACAGAGTTCTTTTCTATGTTACATGTTTGTGTATTTGCTGTGGTCTTTTGCAGGGGGGTCTGGCTCTCTTCGTACAGGTCATGCCCATCCTCATCCTGGTTATAGTGTCAGCTCTCAGTCAGATTATGGTCAGCAGCCCCTCGTATAGTCTCAGCTTCAGGCCGTGAGTATTGTCCATGCACAATTCAATTCAACCTTTATTTAGACAGGTTAGTCCCATTGAGCCTCGAGGACTCATTTACAAGAGAGACCTGATTTAAACAAAGAATGATGACAACAATGGACAATCATAAAAGAGACATACAGATTTTTTTTTTTTTACAAATTAAAATAAGATGGCAAAAAAATAAGAAAAAAGTTGCAAAAACAGATAGATTATAAGGCGGTGTCGAAAACTAAAAACAGGAACATGTCTGCATTGGTCCCTGCCAGGAGTCCAACAGATTCTTAAAGCCACTTAGAGAGGTCAAGGTCGAGCTTCAGATCTTTTTGTAAAATATTCCAGGAAATGGGAGCAGAGGAGAAGGTCCTTTTGCCAAGTTCAGTCCTCACTGAGGGAACACTGCAGGTAATAATGTCCTGAGAGCGCACGCTGTAGCTGCACTCACGCAGAGACATGTAGGAGGAGATGTATGAAGGCAGCAGACCAAGAAGTGATTTAAAGAGGAAAATGTACCAGTGAGAGAGTCTGTGTGAAGTTAATGATGTCCAGTTAACCAGTGAATACAGAGTGCAGTGGTAGGTACGATAATCACAACCAGTTATGAATCTTAGTGCACCATGATAGACAGCATCCAACATCTGCAGGGTGCTTGTAGGAGCGTTCATGTAAATAATGTCACCGTAATCAATGGAGGGAAGGAAGGTCACAGATACAAGGTGTTTCCTAGCATTCAGGGTTAGACAGGATCTGTTTCTGAAAAAGAAACCCAGTTTAACTTTCAGTTTCTTTACCAAGTTTTCCACATGGAGCTTAAAAGAGAGATGTGAGTCAACCAAGATACCCAGATATTTATAGGAATCAACAAACTCAATAGGGACACCATTTGAGGATAAAATCAGAGGAAGAATTGCTAGGACCGACTTCCTGTTTGAAAAAAGCATCCCTTTGGTTTTGTCGGCATTTAGGACAAGTTTGAGGCAGAACAAATCAGACTGGATGATGTCGAAAGCGGATTTCAAAAGCTGGAAAGCCTTAGCAACAGTTTTAGCTCGACAATAAACAACTGTGTCATCAGCATAGAAATTTATGGATGCATCAGGGATGCTCTGACCTACATTACCTATGTAGATTGTAAAGAGGGTGGGTCCCAAGACTGAGCTTTGTGGTACACCATTTTTGACTGTTAAATAACTGGAGGAAGTACCATTATGTTGAACACATTGCCTCCGATCTGAGAGATAGTTAGAGAACCAACCATTGGTGTGGTCTGAGAAACCGATTTCTGAGAGTTTATGACACAAGATGTTATGATCCACAGTGTCAAAAGCTTTAGACAGGTCTAAGAAAAGTGCAGCACAATAATCCTTAGCATCCAGTGCTTCAACAGCATCATTAAGAACATTCAGTGAAGCAGTGGTTGTGCTGTGTTGTTTCCTGAAACCAGATTGATGTGGAGGTAAGATGTTAAATGAGTCCAGGTAATTTTTGATTTGAGAGTCGATCAGTTTTCCTACAACCTTGGCTAAAATGCAGAGTTTAGAGATTGGCCAATAGTTGTTCAGTGAGGTGGGGTCTCCTCCCTTCAGCAAAGGAAGAACAAAGGCTGTTTTCCAAGCGTCTGGAACAGGGGTGGGCAATTATTTTTTCCATGGGGCCACATGAAAAACAACAAATATTGTGGAGGGCTGGCACAAATGACTTTTTCATTCAACCTTTATTTAGACAGGTAAATCCCATTGAGCCTCGAGGACTCATTTACAAGAGAGACCTGATTTCAACTTAACTCAATACTGCATAATATTAGTATTTCATTATTAAAAGCAGTACATAGCACTGTTTTAACAAGCTGGTAAGAGTATTTGTTATGATTAAGCAACGAAAAAGTGAGGTTTCCTTACAAAAAATGTCATTTATTCAATTAAATTTCCCAGTACAATGGTAAACTGTTAACATTTTTACCATTTGTGATGTTATATTAGTGATCATTTTCAGTCACAATCACCCTAAAACTCATTTTGAGTTTGATATACTGCTGGAAAAAGTTCTTAGCTTTCTAAATATATCACAATATTGTCTTTGTACTCCAAATATTATGAAACATCATATAATAGTGATCGTCACTGAACTGTGATTTCGAGTCCCGGTTCTTTACGTGCCTACATTTGTAGTCTAAACATCTCATTTGGTGTTTATCAGTTCTTTTTTCTTGTTTAGTGAGAGAAGTTTAGTCTCTGTTGGGCTTTAACGGAAATGTTCAAGTCAGGTTGAAGGTCTGAGGTGGAGATGTGAAGCAAAGCTGACATCATCAGTGAGAGAGGATCTATATCTGGATTTGGTTAACTTCATTTGTATATGTATTTTGTAATTCCCCTTACGGGGGCCGGTCAGAGTCAACCAAAGGGCCGCATGTGGCCCTGGGGCCGTACAATGCCCAGGTCTGGTCTGGAATGTAGTTTTGTCTTATGGAGAGATTGAAGATGTGGGTCACAGGGACTGTGATGATATGAGCAGCCAGCCTTAAGAAATAAGGTGGAAGATGATCTGGTCCTGCAGATTTTTTAGGATCAAGATTTTTTAACAGTTTATTGACCTCACTGACTGAGAATGGAGAAAAAGAGAAGCTGTGATTAACTGAGGATTGACTTATAGGAGGGATTTGAATTGTAGAAGTTTGGTTATTAAGTGAAGTGGCTGATTTTCCATTAGTAACTGTGTCAAATAAAGAACTAGGAGCGACAAAATGTTTGTTGAAACAGTTCAGGATCTCGCGCTTATTTGACACAGGAACAGAGTTAACGAGAAGTTGTGATGGGAGGTCAGATGATTGGGAGCTGTTTGAGAGAGATTTAATAGTTTTCCAGAATGTTTTAGGGTCACAAGAGGGGTTTAAAATAATATATATGGTTGCTCTTTGGTTTCAGAGTCAGTTTCTGTGAACGTTACCAGCTGTCAGTCACATTAAGAGTTTAAAACCTGCTTTTGTGGCATAAACTTGTGCCTCCCATGTCAAAAAACTTCCTTTAAATTGACCTGATATGAGCCAGCGCTTATCTGTCTTCTCTGTCTGCTCGCAGGTCAGCGGGTTACTCACAGAAGAGGCTGACTGAGAATCTGAAGGTGCCATATTACGTTGGGGAGCATTTCTCCAAAGAGTTCACCGGAGTGAACCTGAAAAATCTGGAGCGATCAGTGGAGGATGACTACATTTCAAACCTTCGCAATAATTGCTGGAAGGAGAAACAGCAAAGTATGAGTGTATTCAGTCATTTTGCAAGAGAGTTTTACTACCGCTCACACATTCACGTGATTCCTTTGTGTGGTTTGTTGCAGAGGAAGGTATGCTATATAGAGCTCGCTATTTCGGAGACACTGAGCTGTACCAAAGAGCGCAGAGGGCTCGAACTCCAAGCTGCGGCAAGCTGTCCGAGATCATGGCCTTGTTACATTAAAAGCAAGTTTTCCAAAAATAATTATTTTGATCTTTTAATTATTTTTTTTTACCCCACTTCAAAAAAAATCTAAACCCTTCTTGTTTTTCTCCTTCTTACTGTCTTCATGTCTCCAGAATGATCACAAGACACAACTGGCTGTAAATACCTAAAGCTTCAAGAGTCTGGAAGCTAAAGATGGCTGAATCAACACAAGCTGAACATATTAACCCTCACCTCAGGCTGAAACCAGATCTGTGGAGTTTTAGTTCATGAAATTAACACAAAAGTTTATATGTATTGTGATTAACCTTTTAAAAAAAAATGTAGGGATGCACGATATTATCGGCATCGGCAGATATTAGCGATAAAGTTAAATATCGGACATCGACCATTCCATCAAAATAACGCACCAATAGAAAAGGCGCTGTTTTTGTATGACAACCCAGTAGCGAGGATGCCTGTAGCGCCAGCACAACGTGATGACGTCACGCGGGCCTACCTGATCTGATCACGGCGGGAGAGGAAGAAGTGAAAATGTTGGTGGTAAGTTTTTTAAAGTGTCAGAAACTGATAGTAGAACTGCTATTGGCAATGTCTGCTCAGCAAAAACTGACAAACACCATGCGGAATCATGTATTTTAATTCCACAGCAGAGAAAGCTATGTAGTCTCTAAGTAGGTCTATGGAAAAAAATATGGATATTGGTATCATTATTGGTCAAATAAGTTTCAACATATTGGCGTATCGGATATCGGCCAAAAATCCAATATCGTGCATCCCTAAAAAAAGCCATTTATTACATCCTGATTTCCAAACAAGTTGTTGGTTTGCAGTAGCCTGTTTGCATCGGTTTTAACTGGAAGCCATAAAGCTGACAAAGATTGCTTCACCTATGACAAATAGTTTAGTTATGAATAGTAATGCTGATGTCACTTAGATAGCAGTTGAAGAAAACTCACACTGAATGCTTCCTTTTTTATTTTTATGCAGTCATAAGTGGAAAGAAAAAACAATGTCTCCGCTGACTAAATGCACTTTTTGAACTATGCAGGAACATTGTGAAACGTCTTAGACACTTGAAAACCTGAAGTTTGGTTTTTCCTGTCATGTATGTGAGACACAGCCAAATCCAGTAGAAACTGTTTGTCCTTTTCTTTAATTCTATGAAGGGCAGGTAGTTGGTGTTACTTTGCTTTACAGTTGCTACCAAAAGGTGAGACGTGTGCCTACAAACCATGTGGAACTACAGCAGGTTGGACAACCCCAGTTTCGACAAAGTTGAGAAGATGCGTGAAATGCAAATGAAAACATAGTTCAATGATTTGCGAAATCGCACAAACCTACATTTTATTCCCAGTGGAATACAGTAAGCATATTCAATGTTTAAGAAATTGTACCATTTTTTAGGAAACACTATAGTTTGGAATTTGATGGCAACAACACACTTTAAAATGTGAGGACAGGCCAGCAAAGGGCCGCAAAAGTTAGCGGTACAAAAAAAAGAAACAGAGCTGGAGGACCATTTTGCAATGAATTTGTTTAGCTGGCATCAGGTCAGAAATAAAAAGAGCATTTTAGAGAGGCTGAATCTCCCAGGGGTAAAAAAAACGAGCAGAGGTCTGTAAACGCATCTAAAAACACAGGAACAACTTCAGGATAAAAATTCCTCAACAGAAATGTGAGACGACCTTGAATATCCCATCATCTACAGTTCCTGATGGTTGTATTATGGTTGTATTATTGAGGCCCTCGGAGGCCAGTGCATTTAAAACACAGGTCTGATTCTGGTCTGGACATCACCTCTCCCGCGTGGGCTCAGGAACTGTTCTGAAAACACAGTTCACTGTGCCATTCACAAATACTGGTTAAAGCTCTATCGTGCAAAGAAGAAGCCAGTTGTGATCACCACCCAGAAGTACTGCTGTCTTATTTGGGTCGGAGCTCATTTTAAATGAACTGAGGCAAAGCGAACATCTAGTTATCAGTGTTTAGTTCAAAAGCCATCCTCTCTAATGGTATGGGGGTGCATTGGTGCCTTTGGCATGGGGCAGCTTACACATCTGAAAGGCAGAAAAGTGACTACAGAACAGGTTTTAAAGCAACACATGATCCCATCAAGACTATGTCTTTTCTTTTTTTGCTAATACAACCATAACCCAGGACTATTGAACAGCTAGAATACTAAATACTAAGTTGACTATGTTCCATTGTGAATATCATACGTGTTATGAGATTTGCAAATCTTTGCGTTTATGTTTGTTTTACATTTTACCCAACGTCCCAACTTTTCCAGAACCAGGGTGGTAGTCCAGCCGTACAATGTCTCAGATATCCTAGTTTACGATGAGCTGTATCTTCTTTGTATTTATTCAACCATACGGTCGAACAGATCAAGAGAAAAGTAGAGACCTTGCTCACGTTTTTCACCTCGTTTGTAACTCCCAGAGGAAAATAAATCTGTACGCTTCAACGTGTTGGATGTGACTCACTGCTGCGCGCAGAACAAACACGAAGGAGAAAACAAAAGCTCAGTCAGCACAAACTGTGCCGGCAGGCCAACTCAGGCTGGGAAGTGGACGCATGTGAGCAGGCACGTTCACACTCAGAGATGTTCGGCCTGTGTCACACTCTGTTTCTAAAAATATGTTCAGCTGTTTGTGGCAGATGTTGCAACTTTACTCTGACATTGATTTAGATGCCCAACCCCCTTTCAGCCTAGAAACCTTATGTTTTGCTCTTTTATTTGCCACGACCTCCATGTCAAATAAGACAGAACCCTTCTAATATTAAGATATGATGCACGTACACTATAGACCTAACTGGAACTACATTGTTCGGAGTGATCACACTTTGTGAAATATTTCTATTAAGTGGAATAAACTTTTATTTAAGCCAACAGCTTAAAAAAAACCCCACAAAAATGGCTTTAACCCCGTCACTTCTGAAGATACTGACCTAAAATTTTATGTGGTAGTAGCAGAGAATGATTCCCAACCTATATTCTGAGCGTCGTTATGTTAAAGTGGTTTCTAGTATTAAGGAATGCATGCATTGATTTAGTTTTAAAGCCTTATTAGATTATAAACATTTAATTTCAAAGTAATGGATTAAAAGTTAGCATCCAGTGAGAATATTTTAAAGAAAATATGTGTTTTTCTTCCTTCTGGAGTTTATAACTTAATTATTAGGCTGTTTTTTTCTCCCTAGTGGAGTTTAAAACTTTATCCAACTCTGCCATTGATTGTAGTTTTCCTTTTTTTTTTTAGCCAATAAAGAAGTCATGTTGGATAAAAATTACACTTCGATCGTTTGCATACATTAAAAAAACAAACAATCAATTCTTTAAAAAAAGAGCAATTTATTTGTGATCATAAAAAGTACAAAAAACATGTGCAATGTTATGAAAATTTGATCAAATAAAAGTCAAATGCAAGAGGTCCAAACGTGACATGAAACTTCAGCCATGCCTTGCATATTAAAACAAGCACTTTTATTCCAAGGAGTGACAAGAATCCAAAATGTGATCAAATGGAGTACATTCAAATGGTTATGCATAAAAAATAATAAAAAAAGGTCTTCAGTTAAAACAATACAGCTAGCTGCCCTTTACAGAGTTTCACATGAAACTGAGGTACTCACTTTAATACTTGCAAAATGCCCATTAACAAGACAAATGGTTATAGTTTGAAATGTTCAAATCTGAGCCAGTGTATCTGCTCAGAGTACCATAAACATCAGCTTCTTTACAGTAGAAAGAAAAGGCTACATCATCATCAAGTCCATCGTTACGCTTCAAAAAAAAGGCATCATACTTAAAATCCTAAAGGCCCTTCTGTGAGCTTTTATTGTCAGCTCGGACATTAAATCTGTTCAACATTCCTCAATGAGCAGCTCTTCAGAAGAGTACAGCTTCTTCTTGATCACACGAAAACCAATGCTGAGTTTAATAGCTTGTCGGACTACAGGCGTGGAAGGAGACTTTGAGATGAACAGTCCTTGAAGTTTAGGCCACAGGCCACTCGACTCAAGCCTCAAGACCAGAGTGAGCTGGAAGGTGGGGACAAGGTAGGGGTCCACAGACAGCTGTCCTATGCTTTCACAGGTGGCCCCTTGCTCTACGCAAAGGTCAATGAGAGCCCCTCTTAAGCCGCAAGGCTCGCTAGCTGCCAGGTGAAGGAGCTCCTGTCCAATGTGCTCCAGGAGTTTCTCTGGAATGAGCAGTTTGTTACATCTCAAGGTGCAGTCTGTGTTTTTGGCTTCCCTTAGGCTTCGTGCAATAAGGTCCACTACTTCTTTCAGGATGGTCTCCTCCATCGGATCAAAGAACAGGTCATCGCTAGAGGGACTAAGGTCACTGGAGGCATCCGACCCTGGAGATAGGGAAGCAGAGAGTTAGCACTTCATGCATGCACACAGGAAAACAACCTCTGAGAAGAATCAGGGCTGAATCGTTGCTCACCTGAATCTGAGAGATCACTCCTGCTGCCATGGCTGGACCCTGACTCAATGCTGGAGCCGCTTGTGTTGAAATCAGCCAGTCTTTGGACTAGTTTGCCCCAGGAGAGCCTCCTGGGATTGCTGCCCACAGGGGACGGAGGTGTGTTGCAAGTGTCCGTGGGTGCAAAGACTTCGGGCATTGTTTGTCTTCTCTGCAGTGCTAAACAGCTGCTTCTGCTCCACAACAGGTTTTGAAAAAGAAACAAAAAAAAGGACAAATAAACACTACTATCCCATGTATAAACTAAGAGGTATACATTTAAACAGTGGCTTGGTAATAAATGCATAAACTCCCAACAGAATTTTCGCTGCATGCATGTTAGCAGCTAGCATTTCTTCGCTTTAAATTAGCTTAAAAGACAACAAAATTGACAAATATTAATATCGTACTTACAGTTATTGTGAAAACAGAGCGTTTCACGTTTGTTCTCTCTAATTACGATAAATAGTTGTTTTTTCCACCAACTGCAGTCCGACCGATCCTTCTCTCCCCATCTGCCAGGCAAGCTCCGCAGTCCGACTCGCAACAATGCTTTTATATGAAGGCTGGGAGGCCACGCCCACCCTTTCACAGCCAGCCAATCAAAAACAGGGGCACGGCATCCTTGCTGTATCTTGCCTGGTAACATGCCAGCAGAGAAGAAAGACAAACAAGAGGAAAAGGGGTGGAGGGAGAAGGGGGCTGTGGGGATGAATAGCAAAGCCCAGTGTAGTGGAAATGTACAGAGACTTGTTTGGGCTTGTAGGCATCATATAACGTTTCTTTGTTCAGCATCCTCAACAAGGTGCAATATGTTGTTCTGCTGTTGGTGCACTCTCAACCATAAAAGCGTAGACTAAAGTCCATGCAGGCCTGGCCACACTGGTTCAGTGTTGCAGTATACATTACGTCACCTGTTTTTCCTCAAGCATTACATCAGAATTTTTATCTGCTTCATAGAGATGCAGGCACGGAGAATGCTGCATAATATGCCATAAGAAATAGAATAAACTAAAGAGCTAACGTGTCACAATTTGCAGGGGCTCTTGCATTTGTCCACAAACATGCAAAAAAAAAAAAAAAAAAAAACCAACATAGATAGGAAGTTCTTTATTGCCTAAGGACATTTACAATTAACGTATGCATGTAAACAGACCATATATGTTCTTCAGTCTTTTTTTAAATGTTTCAGCTGATTTACTTTAAAACTTTAATGAGTTTATATAATGACATGATTAAAAAACTTGTACGGAAGACATGATTCAACACTTTTTTGTGATTTATCTACCTGGAAGATTGAGCAGTCAAACATTTTTCTGAGCATGAACAATATTATTATTATTATTGTTATTATACTATATTGACCCCCAATGAGGAAAATTAATATTCTGCATTTTTCCCATGGCGCATGTGGAGCAGCGGGCTGCCATCTAGGGTGCTCTGCAGCTGGGGGGTTAAGGGCCTTGCTCAAGGGTAAATGAGGGTGTAGGATACGTTTGTGCTTCACATACCCCACCCAATTTTTTTGTGCAGGTCTGAGGATTTGAACCAGCTGCCTCGATCACAGGCGCACCTTCTTTAGCCTCTGTGCCACCACTCCCCCCAATAGCATATTGAAAAGTGTTTGAGATTTTATTTCTTAGGTTTACTGAGTTTAATCTTCATGAACGTCCTGATGCACGCTCATTAACTCAGGTAGAAAAATCTAACAAGGGTCAGGTCCTGTGGACGGATTCTTCTTTGTTGAAACTTTTGATCTTTTATCCAAAAGACCAATTCAGTCGGAGCCACTGCAACAAACTCAGTCTTATAAACAGCACCTTCTCATAGTGGATGAACCAGTTTGCTGCTGGCAGTCAGAACTAGCTATTCACTTGTAAAAGAAGGACCATCAGCCTAACAATTGGTCGTTAGTGCCTCGATGGCCGCTTGCTATTCAGGACTGGGTGATGCTGAGGGTGACAGTTGAACACAGAGATCCCCACACCTGTTTAAAGATGGGACGGGTTCTCTTCACAAAGATGGCTTCCTTTACTCCTCTCTTAAACCAAAGCTCCTCTCTATCAAGAATGTGCACATCCCCTTTATCTTTAGCCACTGGCCCAAATGATGGCCCAGCACAGAAAAACAAGGCCTGGACTCTGCGGCCTACATTCATCTGCAGGCCAGCAGTCATTGAAGATGTGCACATTCATGATAAGAGGAACGCTGGTTTGAGAGAGGAGTAGGATGCCATCTTTGTGAAGAGAGCCCATCCATCTTAACATCAGTACTGTATGATTAAAACGAAATTTCCTGAATCTAAATGAAAATAAAACTGAAGTTATCAGCTTTGGTAAATGTAACGGCTCCTTGGCTTCATACAGCCACTCCACTGTCAGGAATCTGGGGGTTGTTTTCCATAGTGCTTTTAAATTAGCCGAACAGATAAATGCAGTTGTGAAATCCAGCTTCTTCCAACTAAGACTCACTAAAAGGTGAAATCTTGTCTCCTTTTCAGAGACCTTGAAAAGGTGATTCATGCGTTTATTAGCTCTTGTTTGGACCATTTGGTTTAGATAAATCATCTTTGCATCGCTTACAAACTGTCCAGAACGCAGCAGCTCGTCTTTTAACAGCAGCTAAAAAACACAAACACATAACCCCTGTCCTGGCTTCTCTCCACTGGCGTCCTGTCCATGTCAAGATTGCTTGTAAGATTTTATTGCTTGTTTTAAAAGGCTTAAAAGGTCTGACCTCGTTTTTGCGACATTAACACCTACACTCCAGTCTACCAACCAGTCTCTCTTATCTCCAGATCCAAACTGAAGTCCAGAGATGATAGGGCTTTTGCAATTGCTGCTTCAAAATTGTGGAACAGTTTAGCTTAATTTGTAAACTGATCATATTGGAGGGCAGCACGGTGGTGCAACTGGTAGAGCTGCTGCCTCTCAGCGAGCAAGTCCTTGGTTCAAACCCCGGTCCAGGGGCCTTCTGGGTGGAGTTTGCATGTTCTCTCCGTGCATGCATGGGTTTTCTCCGGGTACTCCAGTTTCCTCCCATAGACCAAAAACATGCATGTTAGGCTGATTGGTAACTCTAAATTGTCCCTAGGTGTGAGTGAGAGAGTGAATGGTTGTTTGTCTCGTTTGTCTCTATGTGGCCCTGTGATGGACTTGCGACCCGTCCAGGGTGTACCCCGCCCCTCGCACAGTGATTGCTGGACATGGGCACCAGCGACCCCAGTGACCCAAAATGGAATAAGCGGGTAAAGATAATGGATGGATGGATATCCAGTACAAGTTTTATTCATTCATGGTAGTTTATTCATAACTTTATTATTAGTACGCCAGAGATTTATCAGATCCAAGCAGTTACTGGAATGCACCTTGTCAAGATAAGTTCCCGGATCCTGTTCCGGAAGGATCCGGCGCAAATTAAACCCTGGTTTACATGATCATTTCAAGCCCGCTGAGACTGTTGAGACTTTTAAATCTTTGCTCAAGACTTATGTTTTTTCCTTGGCATTTGATCCATGCAGTCTAAAAAAACAGTTAGAGCTGATTTTTGTTGTAGTTGTGTTGCATTTTATTCTTGCGTTTCCTGAGTGACACAAGATGTATTTTTTTTTTCTTTTTAATTTAAATCACTGGTCAGCTTTTGTTTTTATGTGCTATAGAAATAAATCGACATCTTTAAACAGGGTTGGGGAACTATCCACCCTCTTACGATGCTGTTTAAGCCTGTATTTCTGTAAAGCACTTTGTGATTTTATCTATGAAAAGTGCTATATAAATAAAATTTACTTGCTTACTGTTATTGCAAGCATCACTCAGCCCTCGATGAATAGCAAGAGGAAATCAGAGCACCAACAAACAATTGTTATGGCGCTAACAAGGACCCGACTTAATCTTGTTAGTATCTTCATGAATGTGCATTTTTAAAGTTTGAGATTTTTATTTACCGGTAATAAGTTTATTGCATTTATGTCTTAATGAGCATACACTTGATTAGGTTACTTAAATAGATGTTTACTTTAAATGTCATGGACGTTCAATTAATTTTTTATTTAACAAGTTTAATATTTTGCATTCTTTACAAGTTTATTTCATGTCATGATGCCTTTGAACTTGTTTGTGAACATGTTTAATCAGTTTTTCAGATTTTAGCATCCAAAAAAAAAATAGCAAAAAATGAAAATAAAGTCAAATGCACACAAACACTGCAGCAGGGTTTAAAAGAGGAACTGCAAGAACATCAGGCAAAAAAACAAACCTCCTAGCTCCAAAATGAAGTGTACATATTTACTGAAAAAAAACTGGGAACTGGCCAGATATATGCTACGCTTCTGCACATGTAGGTGTGGAATAGTATAAAAAGAAAAGAGGAAATGAAAAACATTCGGTAAACACGTGTGGGTACATTATGTTCTTCCTGGGATGTTTTGAATTAGATGTAATCGTATCAAAGTTCTGTCAAGAAAAAAAAAAGTTACATTTTCATCGTGAAGAAACGTGGGCTGTGAAAAAAAAAAAAAAAAAAACACCACTAGAACAACAACATTGAAACTGTGCAGTAAATCAAGCTTCTTCCAAAAGAACTTAAACCGCCTGCTGGAGGCGTGTCTTACACTGTCCAGGGCCAGCCTAAGACACTTACACCCAGAACAGAACATTCTGTACGTACCAAACCTTCATCTGAATAAAAAAACATCCGTCGTCAGCTCCTGATTCAAACATCTGATCTGCACGCTTCCTCCATGTAAACAACAACAAAAAGCAACTTGAACAAGATTCCACTGATGAGCGTCGAACCTTGAACTTATTCCAACAGGAAATTACGTTCAAGAGAAGCAGAAAAGATTTGGAGCTTAACTTTAGTGGAGGATTAGGGGAAAAAAGAACACAACATCAAGTAAAACAAGCAGCCACTAATTCGAAGAATGTCTAAGTTGCACTTCACATACAAGCTGTCTTTGTTTTGCTCCGGTGGAACGAGCAGTGATGAGAAACCAGCAGAGAAAGGAGGGGAGACTGAGCAGGCGGCAGGTTTTAAGATTTATTAGCTAAAAAAAAGCAACCAAGTGCAAACACAACACTTTACTTTAAGGGATTTATTACAAAAGATGTTACTTCCCTTAGCGTTGAGGCTAATAACAAATTGGACTGGCTGAAACTTCGTTAGCCTAAAACAGATACGGTATTTAAATACAAAAATCTTAATTATGAGATCTCAGTTAATAATTCTAGTAGCGTGGACCTGTTGTTGGTGTAATAAATAAGCAAAAATACAATGAAAAATGTTTCAAAATTCATGTTACATTTAGCCACATTAAAAACTCACACATTATACACAATGAACAAGTAAATAAAACATTTTGTTTTTACTCTACTTGGCAGATTTACAAACCGAAAGCTTCTGAATCTCTTTGTTTAAGACGGTGTGAATCCCAGTAGCTGCTCTATCGGTTTGTACCGCCACTCGTCTGCTTCCAGCTCCTCCACCAGGCTCGCAAGTTTCTCCATCCGAGAGGCTTGTTGATCTGAAAGAACGCACAACAGTTACCGCATTATTATCCCATTTTTCACTGAGCTGACTCCAACAAGCGTTTAGCAGAACACATTCACTGACTTACCTTGTTTAACCTGCTTCAGCGTTGAAGCCACTTGGTAGCTGAACACGGACTCGCATAAAAATCTATCAGAGCCATCTAAACAAAAACAAAAAAAATCAAACCAAAGAGTGAAGGTGTGCAACACATATTCAAAAAAAACTACCGAGCACTGTGGGATGGATACGAGTTAACCAAGATTATTTCTTTCATTACGTCTCATCGCTTATGCAAAGTGGTTTTAGTTTAATTTTGGGCTTGTTCGCAAGTACGTGCAGTAACAAACGTACACGCGTTCAATCATTTACTTAATGCAACTTTATTTTATTATTCACTGGTTCACTCATTATAAGTTTTATTTTACTGCATCCACTTGCACTTGCACCTAAACATGCCTGATCCTGGAAATGTAACCTTAAATATTGTTTTAATGTCACAGAGTACATTTTGTATTAATGCTGTCATCAATAAAAGTATAAATGACCTCGTCAGGGGCAGTAATATGACCCCACACCATCAAAACCCAGTTTTTGGTGTTGTTGCTAAGTTTAAATTATTGTTTTTATCCTAGGTGCAGAGAACAAGCTGACTTTTTCTACACTTTGACAAGTAAGCGCTTGCCCATTTCAGCTACTGACAAATGAAAGATATTGCAGTACATTCTGAGGGACTGGGGAGAACAGATGCCCAGACGCTGAGCCTGTTTTCTACTTCTTCTTTCAGCTGTTCCCTTTCAGGAGTCTGTCCTCTGAAAACCTCTGTCCATACTCCAGCTACCTCCATGTCCTCTCTAACTGCATCCACATATCTATTCTTTGTCTTTCTCCTGGCAGCTGCATTTTTAACATCCATCTACCAATATATCCACCATCCCTCCTCTGGACATGTCCAAACCATCTCAGTCCGGCCTCTCTAACTTTATCTCCAAGTTATTCAACCCGTACTGTACCTCTGATGATCTCATTCTTATTAATCCATCCTTGTCACTCCCAAGGAGAACCTCAACACATTCAGTTCTGTCTCCTGTCTTTATGTCAGTGCAGCTGCCTCCAAACCATCCAACACAGCTGGTCTCTTGAGCCTGCTTTCTATGCACTCAAATTCCCCCTTTTCTTAAAAAGTGTTAAGACGATTAAGCACAGTTTAATGCAAAATATGCCAATCCCATCCCCAATCCTATGTAACATACAAAGCTATAAGCGTTCAGAGAATTTCTCCTTATACATGTTAAAAAGTTACCTCAAAGTTAGCTTTTTATAAAATTCAATTCATTCTATTTATATAGTGCCAAGTGTCACAACAGAAGTTAGCTCAAGGCACTGAACAAATACATTCATATACATAAAAAAAATCAATTAATAACATTATTTATCCAAGGTAAGGTTGAACATTGCTTTTGTACTAAACCCCCTTTACAATAACTTGTTGCAAAGTTCATTTTTCACCTCATTAATTGTCTCTAAACTAACATTTTATGAAATGTGTTGGAGGCCTCAAGCGGAAAAATGTATAGTAATGAATAAAGTTAACCAGACAAAACATCAATTAGAGTTGCTGTATTTTCATTCAAATGCAAGTCACTGACATTAAATGAGCATTTTCCATTTTCTTTCCATCATGCGAAAGGGTGTTACTCCATTATGTCATAATCTCAGTGCACTTTTATTAAAAATATTGTCTCTCTGAGCAAATATTTCTTCAATCTTTCCAAGCTAAGGGGGCTTTCGACCATGCTAAAGCTAACCGAGCGAACTTACCTTCCATCATTTCACCTGCACCTTTGGGATAAGTGTAGAGGACTTTCCTCGGAGGGATGAGCTCTGAAGCACTGAACCCAGAACCAGTCACCGAACTGCCGCTAACACCTCCCGCAGAGGACGACGAAGAAGACGCTGCCATTTGCCTTAAAGAACTACAAAATAAAAACCAAAAAGAGTTGTGGTTACCAACATAAGCACAGTAAAAAAGACTCAGCTGCAAACCAGTTTACAAACGTTGAGTGTTTTACTCAATCTGTTAGCAAGCTAGCAACTACAGAGAAGCAAACACGGAAGCTAGCTAACATAGCATTTAGAACAACAAGCACACAACATTAATGCTATTAGAAGCTGCTGTTTTCCAGCAGTGAAACATACCGTAAATATCCCGGCGAATAAATGTTATTTATACGCAGTTGATCCTAGTGTTAGAAGTTTACGACAAAAACAGTATTTTTGTGTGATTTAGAAGCGGTGGCGCTTTTAAAAGACTTCACAAACATATGGATGGCTCATATTTATAACATCCGGGGGTCGAAGCGTCTTCTCACAATGCGTTATAGATCTGCTCGAACCATACCGTAAATTAACTCGAAGTGTCGTAATGCAGCTAACATCACGTTAACGACACCCTAGCTAGCTATTCAAGTTGTAATGAAAAATTGAAGTAATTTTCCCATGTTTTTCATGATTTTCTCGTCAGTCTAAACTGTTATATCAGCATAGCTTCAACTAACGCTCATTATAACACTATGGATGTTCTTTGCCCACCTCTTATCAATATAAATGGGAGAATATATCGAAAAAACATCGTTAAGGAGGAACATTATGAGGAGGAAGATGATGTTTCTTACATGGGACCACCAGGTAAGTTTAGCTCTATCAGCATTAACGTATTAAATGCACAGATGTATGAAACTACAGCTGTCAAAATTAGTAAAAAGTAAATAAACAGTACTTGTTTGTTTTAAGAGTGTGAAGATCTTGCAGAGGATGAAACCTGTGACAGCCACCTTATTGAACAGACAGATAAGGGATACCGCTGTGCCATTGATGTCCCAAGTGTCCTTTACAAGTAAGTAGTTTACAAAACACACGTGCTGCTTTTTCTCATAGATTTATGTCTAAAAGATTTTGTGTGTACAGTATTTGTGTGCATCCTTCCTTTTGTTGAACAGGTACATCATTGGGAAAAAAGGAGAAACACGTAGACGACTGGAGTCTGACACAAAAACATCTATCAGCATCCCCAAACAAGGAGTGGAAGGACAGATCGGTGAGGAAATCTCATGACTTTGAAACAGAAAATTTAAAAACTGCCTCTTCACGTTTCTCTTTTGCCTTTTAATAGTTATCACAGGTTCTCACAAAGCTGCAGTTTCTTCAGCGATCACCCGAGTCGAGGTCCTTGTGGAGAGTTTCCGGAGGAAACAGCCTTTCACCCACTTCCTGTCGTTCCCGCTGAATGATCCCCGAGTTCAAGAAGGATTCTTGAGATTTAAGGATGAGGTGTTGCAGCAGTGTTCACAGGTGCTTCAGAGAAACGACTGTTGAAAATCAGCACTGTCGCATCATCACTTATAAATCATGTGTTCACAATTTGTCGTTACCTGATGTGCAGGACCATGGAGTGGAGGAAAGCATCTTTCAGAACGCTGCAAAACTTCACTTGACTATTGGCACCCTGGCTCTGTTAAATGACACAGAAGTGAGAAAAGCATGCGAGCACCTCCAACAATGTCAACGTTTCATCAGGTAGGGGCTTAAGAGGGTCTTTTTCTACTAAACTTTTAACAAATATGTCTTCAAACTCAATTCTACTCACTGTTTTTAAAAGCTAGAATGTGCAGATTTTATTTTATTTTTGTAACATTTTGTTGAAATGTTCTTAATACAGTTGCAGTGTAGAAGTAGAGGATACCGGTACGTACATCCTTAAATAAATGATTAATTTTTCAGTGTTCTCGTTGTCCAGTTGTGAAGATTGTGTATTATTTCGATAATAAGTCAATTTTTCCCATTTTTCATTAAATTGCACCTTTTGCCGTATTAATTTATGAGTGAGTTTTTCCATTGCAAATATCTCTTCCACGGTGCACAGCCACCGCTCCACGATCAGTGGATCCACTTTATGCCACATTCTTGTTATGGCTTTTTTTTACTTGCTGTTAACCATATCTTAATAAAATATTCATTCTCTTTTTGTGTTATGTTGTGTGTGAGATTTCCCAAAATAAAGTGTTTTACATATTTTGGGTATCTCATATCCTAGTATTTTCCTCAAGCTAAGCCATATTTTATCCCAAAGTCCTTTTGTTTTCTTGGCAAGTCCAAAATATGCGTACCTGATCTACATCCACGTGTCCACAGGATCTCCAGCACGGTTGTGTATTGGAACCACTTTCTTCCAAATCTTTAGGGTTATAAAAATTTTTAACCATATTTTTCCAATTAAATTCTCTCCAGATCCTGGAGCTGGTGACCGTACACTGCGTTTTACAAATGTTTAACCATTCTTCTTGAGTTTTTTGTTCCTGCAGTTCTTTTTCTCATTTTTATTTTGATATATAGAGAGGAAGTTTCTTTCCTGCCATCAGACTTGTGTATACAATTTGAGATTATTTAGCTTTTTTTTCCTCGTAGTCCTTCCGACATATCGCAATAATTTCACTTGCTACGTCACTTTTTACTTCCTTTTCATAATGGCCTCTAATTTTTAAATACCGATACTGTTCATAGTTTTCCAAGGTGTGCAGATTTTAAACTAAAAGATGCATTTGTCAAATACTTTAAGTGGAACAAGTTGTTCAAGGAGAGGCTGAAGTCTTGAGTTGAACCTTGTACTGCTTACAGGTTCTGCTGCTAACATCTTTGTGCCAGATATCACAAGGGAGATTCAAAGACTTGTGGCTCTGTGGAGGTCACGTGTTTGTAACGTGTGCTTTGTGGCATGTGACCTGATTCTGCATTTTTGTATCATTGGATTAATTAGGAGATTGGTGGCAACATCCCATCATTTTTATCCTTGTTTATTACAATTTAAAAATATGTTTTAACTCTTTCAAATTATTCTCATTAGATGAAAATCTCATTTGATATTTGGGGTAAGTATATAAATTAATAACAAGAGCATATGCCTTCGGTTATTTGCTTATCTTTGTCATTTTGCCAACTACAGCCAACTAAAAATAAGTCTGTCATGGCCTTGAAGCACAAGTTTTTTTCTTGTTGCGAGTCCACTGCTCAAAAACTTTGAGAATATCCACCTAGAAGTTGTTTTTTACTATTTTATAGGGAATATTAAGTTTGTGTATGTACAAATTTCAGATTACTGGTTAAAAATATTGCTGGAAAGTTTTCTGTATCAATTGTTGGTAGTTGACTGTAACATTTCTGATCAGGGGAAAAGCAGAAGTTTCAGTGTTACACCACAGTGATCTGCTTTGTTTTCATCAGGGACATCACTGAAGGAAAGCCTCTGCCACTGGAGGTGACGGGTATAGAGTACATGAACGATGATCCGGCCATGGTTGACGTCCTCTATGCCAAAGTCAACGTGAAAGACGGATCTGATAAGTCAGTATTTCAGAGAAAAATTGGCACATTAGTTTTTTTTTCCCCAAGTTGTCAGCGTCTTCATTTCACAGTTTTATGAACTGTTTCCATATTGAAGGTTGCAGTTGATGGCAGACCAGCTGGTGGAGCATTTTATCTCTGAGGGGCTGATGGTCAGAGAGTGGGACAGAGTGAAGCTGCACGGCACCGTGATGAACACTCTGTTCAGAAAGGACCTCTCCGGTAAACACACACACACACACACACACGCACACACACGCACACACACACGTGACAGCCTCGCGCTTCTTCGAGTCCTGCACTGGTTTCCATTTACTGAATATGTCATTGTCCAGTTGGAATGAGTACCCTGGTTGGAGCTTTTCTGTACCGCATCTGTCTTAAATGAGTGAGCTTGACCTAGCAACAGATCCTGTAATGAGCAATAAGACTATCACTACCTAGTCTAGTGGTAATCTTTTTGTCAGTAAAACATCTAGTACTTGTCAGAGCATGAGCAGAAATCATCTTGGGGTGTTCTGATGGTTGTACTGTGGCTTAAGATTTTATTTTTTTTACAATTTAAAGTATTTTTTAAAGGTTTGTCTGTTGGTATTTTTGAGTTAGAAAAGTGCTATACACATAAAGTTGACTCGAGTTCAGAGGTTTTGTTTTGGTTGTGTGAAATGCGGCGTGGGGCTTTTGTTCTTTTTCTCCCACTTGTGCCTTTAAATCCCATCATATTAAATCCCATCATATTTGTATCAGAGGAGTTTGAAGGCCGAGTTCATTTCTCAGACACTTTGGCACATTCTTGAATTCGGATCAACATTCAGAAGCCAAGTGTTTGAAATTTAAGTTAGGCATTCATTATCCCACAACTGTTCTGCTCACAAAATATTGTGCTCATTAGCTTGATCTAACTCATGGCAGAATGACGCATTATGTGAAAACTGTAGCTTTTAAATAACTTGCTAGATATTGGTTGAGACAGTATCCTCAGAGGATGTAAGTTCAGTGCAGGTAAACATAAGCATAGCCCCACTTGTTTGACACGAATAATTATTTTCCTGTTCATCTCTCTTAACAAACTTGGAGGTGTTTTCACCATTCCTATATCAAAATGTCCAGCTCGTTCAGGACATTACTGCTGTGTGTTTAGTTTTTTGTAACTTTTTTATACTTTTTTTTTTAACATTTAACTTAATTTACAAACTGTTTACCTAATTGAAACGAATGGAGAACTCGTCTAAACTTTGTGCTTCGGTGTATTAGCTTCATCTTTAGCGATTTTGGCTAATGTTTTGACTATTTTAGCTTTTCTTCTGATTTGGTTTAAACGACCCGGTTTCAGTTTATTCAGCAAATTTCAGTGAAGTGTTCGGCACTCAGCATTCACACGAAATGTTGACAGAAAATGCAGTTTCTCTAGGATAAATGATTAACATTTTGTTTTGAGGCACGGTCACATTGAGGACGTTAGCGACACCGTTAGGTCTGAGCATGCTTGCCAATGTTCCCTTATTATCTTTTGGCTCGGACTGGAGCTGCGGTGACGCCACACAATTACGACGATTAATTTGTGCGGAGAGGACTCGGGGAGGTGCTTGTCTGTTTGTCCTCTGAGCTGTGTACGTGCACCCAACGGTGCGCTTTCCAAGTACCCTGACAATGATTTCATTCAGTTTGGACATGGATCGAGTCCAGCAGCAGTTCTCAAATTTGCACTGGGGCCAACCAACAACACTGAACAAGTGCTCCCTCCATGCCACTGCTGACCATGTTTACTACCAAGTTTTAGTGTTTTTCTTTTATTAATTATTCTCGATTTCACAAGATCTCGTTTTACAAAGCAAGTAACCTTGAGTCTGACAGTGGCGTAGTAAAAGTGGAGCTGCTCGTCAACATGTTTATTGGTTTTGTCAGATAACTTTATCTCTGTTTTTTCCCTGTGTGTTACATCATTCAGCGTGTGTCTTTGGTGTTTTTCCAGCTGAAGCGTCAGCAGGACGACAAACGTCGGGTGAAAGAGAGGCTTTTGATGCCAGAAGCATTTTGAAGGTTAGATTCTCCTGGGCTTTCTGTCACGTCCAGAGTTTCACTCGCTGCTTTTCTGCTGTTATCTAACGTCACACAGGTTATTTTAGTCTACGCTGTAATAATTATTAACCTTGATGCATCCTTTACTTACACTGACTGAACACAGTTTAGGTATGTTTTGGTCAAGAATACTGAAATGAAGCAATAACCCGTTTCCGATCTGAACATTAAATAGATTTTCTGCTACGTTTGACATTTCCACTACCTTTGTAGTCTGATGAGAGCTCATTATTTAATATCACCCACAAAATTTAAGATTTTGATCTTTAACTGGAGCGTCTCACTGAGGTTGACTCATTCCTGTTAAGTATTGTGAAAGGGGTTTTCATTTCAGCCTGGTATTCTTTAATTATATCTGCAGATTAGCTGCAGTGTGAAAAAACTGAAGCCGCTTGATCCCCCTTAAATGTCAAGGGAGTCAGATTTGAGATCTTTAGTTAGAAATTTATTAGGGATGCACAATATTATCGGCATGGTATCGGTATCGGCTGACATTGGCGATAAAATTCAATATCGGACATCGACCATTCCTTAAAAATAACTCACTGATATAAAAAGGCGCTGATTTTGTGTGACAACCCAGTGACAAGGATGCCGCCAGCGCAACGTTACAACGTCACGCGCGCCTATGATCTGATCACGGCGGGAGAGGAAGAAGTGAAAATGTCGGTGGTGTGTAAGTTTTTTAAAGTGTCAGAAACTGATAGCAGAACTGCTATTGGCGATGACTGCGCAGCGTCAATGATGCGAGCAGGAGCGAAAACGACGTCCTACAACACTTCGAACCTAATTAACCATCTCAAGAACCTCCATTACGATGAGTTCATGGTGGCCAGAAAGGAAAGCAAGAGAGCAGTCGACCGCGGAGAAGCAAAACCTCACCAGCAGTCCATTCTACAAGCTTTGGACAAAGTAAGGAAATACAGCCGCAACCACCCGAGTGCAAAAGGCTCTACTCAGAAACTGATGGAGTGTATTGCTCTGGATAACCAACTATTTTCTTTTGTTGAGGATGTCGGATTTCGAAGATTTTTGGAATACGCTGAGCCTCGCTACATCGGCCCCAGTCGGAGATATTTTTCCGACGTAGCCCGAGTTGCAAGCCGTCATTTCCGACGTCATTGAGAAGCTAATCGCCGATGGCACTTGGGTGAATTTTACCACAGACATTTGGACATCAAGCGTTAGCCCCGTTAGCATGATTAGTCTTACGGCACAATGAATGGACAAAAACATCAAAACATAAAAAATTACAACACTTTCAGCCCCACTTTTGGCATCTGCATTTGGTAGCAAGCCAAATTGACAAAGACCGTGCAGAATAATGTAGTATTTTAATTCCACAGCAGAGAAAGCAGTGTAGTCTCTGTAAGTAGGTCTATGGAAAAAAATATCTGTATTGGTATCGGTCAAACACGTTTTAACATATTGACATATCGGCCAAAAATCCAATATTGTGCATCCCCTGTTCGTCTCAGAGGGACGATTCAGTTTGTCCCTTTGATTATGAACAAGTTCTATCTTTTAATATCTGACATTTTGGTATTTAAAGACATACTTGAATGTTAAGTTGTAAAATGATATCGTAGTTTTTGTAAGTCACAAAAAAGCAGCAGAGATAAAAAGCAGTGAAGTTTAGAAACAAACCGTTAATGTCATATTTAGTCTGAACTGTTGTTGGTTTGAGTCAGAAAACGTTGGTTACGTACTGTAACCCCAGATTCTATGAATATAGGCGTAGCCCTTTAAGGCTGTCGCTGATGGTTTATCCCGTTATGCAGAGCATAAGCACTGAAAAAAAATTAGTCCACGCCCACCTGCTGTGTGGGCCCACCCGGTCCGTATAAATTACGTTAAGAGCGGGAAATCGGCTCCCAAAATAGCTTTTTCTTCAGCCATTTAGGAGCCAGTGAGGCCCGACGCTTAAAGGGCTACGCCTATATTCATAGAATCTGGGGTTACAGTACGTAACCAACGTTCTATTTCATATAGGCTTCGCCCTTTAAGGCTGTCGCTGATGGTTTAAGGGCGAAGCGGATGTGGTCCTCGCCTCACTGGGTCCATTCGAACACAGTAAGAAGCGGAAGCTTGCCCAAAAAACGTCTTGTCACTCAGCTCCCCGTGTGCATAAACTACGCATCGCGTAATTATGTGCCATGCACAGACGCATGTTGTGTAACTATGCGTTCTGACAAGCATGAATACCCCGGAAAAACTTTCAACGGGAAGAGGAAGTTGAAAAGAGGGGGGGAGGGGGGCATGAACCAACTGGTTCATGGCTGAACAGTATAAACAGATTAATGTCCATGAATTGATAAATAATCAAATGAACTGATTGGTAACAATAATCATGAACTGATTAGTGACAATAGAACCAGAAACACAGACACAACTGTGACTGATAACAACATCTCACACTGTAATGCATGCAGACAGAAGTGAGCTTAAACAGAGTTCCATGAGAACAATAATATTCATTCTGTTAGAGCACTAAGGACAGAATGTGTCATGGAACGAGCCGTTACATCACGTAGGTAAAAGCGAATAAATGAGCAGGGTGTTGACCATGCAGCCGCAGTGCAAATGTCCTACATTGACATACCATTATGCAGAGCAGTCGAAGATGCGATACCCCTGGTCGAATGTGCTTAGAGGTTGACAGGAGGCCCTAAATCTGATGCTCTGTAGGCTTCAGAAAAGGCCTCACACAGCCAGTGTGACAAGCGCTGGATGGATAACGGCGACCTGCAGAAGCATCTCTATAATGCACAAACAATTGTTGAATTTGAACGCATTGCAGCTGTGCGCGTTACGTAACACGTCAACGCCTGCACCGGGCAGAGAAGATGAACAGATGCTTCCCCTTCTGATCTGTGGGAGGGAAAAAACCCCTCCAACGATATCACTCTTGATTTAAAAGAGCTCGTGATGTTTTAGGCATAAAAGCTGGGTTGGTCTTAAATCAGCTGAGCTGCCCGTCAGCCTAATTCTAAGGCATGACGAAGCAACAGAGAGGGCAGATAATTACTTATCCTCTTAGCGGGTGTTAAAACCAGCAACAGGGCTGTTAAAAGAGACAAGAATTTAAATGAAACCTGATCCAGAGGCTCAATTGAAGCTTTGATCAGGGCTCGCAGGACCAGCGTTAAACCCACTGTGGAACAAGTGGGCGTGAAAACAGGCCTACATCTCTGTACACCTTTTAGAAACCGCTTCATCAGCGGGTGATAAAAGCTGTTCTGTCTCCAAACCCTTTGTGGCAGGAAGAGATGGCTGCAATCGTACGTTAAAGCGTACTGAAAGCCAACTCCCTATCCATCAGCTGTTGTAGAAAAACAACACGCCGCCTAAAAGGCATGAAGTGGTCTCTAAAACTTCTCTGTGCACCAGCGCTGAAAAGCCGTCCCCTTGATGTGTACAGAACTGTGGTAGATGCAGCACGTGAATCTTGAATTGTGCACACTATCTCCTGAGGGAGACCCATCCTCTAAGTGGGACCGCTCAGCGGTCAGACCCACCGGTGTTGACCTATTTCTGGGTAACTCTTGGTCGCTCCTCCTGCCTGAAGGAGAGCATCCTTCCTCCATGACAGTTCCACGGCGACCCAACAACAGACGTTGCAGGCCTGGGAACCATGGTGCGTTCACACGCCGGGAGCCACCAGGAGAGCTGTCAATCCCTCCTCTTGAACTCGGTTCATGGACCGTAAAAAACAGAGGAGGTGGGGGAAAAGAAACGCGTAAAAAGCGTTTTGGGCCACCGACTGTGAGCAAATGCGTCCCCCCCCAGCGATGGATCGTCTCGCGGGCTCAGGGAAAACCGTAGTTGACATTGAGCGTTCTTCTCGCATCGCAAACAGGTCCACAGCTGCTTTGCCAACTTCTGCTGCGTCTGGAAACATCAGATCCGGATGGAGGATCCGGTCCACGTAACGTGGGCCGCCCTTGGACGTCACATCAGAACACCGGATATGTAAACCGCTCTAATAAAAGCAGGTTTTGATGAACCCAACTCAGTAGCTTTCGCACAATGTGTAACATCTGGCTGAACGCATACCCTGATGGTTATGTACGCAGCAGTCATCATGATGTCTGTGTGAATCAACACGTGTTGATTCTGTAGCACAGGAGCAAGGTGTTGAATCACATTCAGTACTGTGCGACACTCCAAAACATTGATGTGGGCTGATGTGTAGTGGGGCCACAGCGCCCCTACTGCTTGAGATAGGTATGTCCCCCCCCCAGCCTGACAGCAACGTGTCTGTGAAGACTGACCCATGACGTGGGTCTGCTGAGGGGGACTCCCTCTGATAGAAAAACAAGGTGTTTCCCCAGAGTCGGAGGTCTGCTTCCACAGAGGAAAAGACAATGATCATGTGTCGTTTGTTTTACTGGATCCACATGCAGACGTGCAAAAACACCTCTAGAGGCGTCTCATGTGATAAACGAGTTTTCATGGTGGTTGAATTTAATTCCACTCCAGAAAACAAATGTCAGGGCCGGGAAAAATCGAGCTTCCTTCCACTTATGGCGAAGCCCAGATTAACAGGTGTGATGTCAACACCTGATCCTGCATCAGCGCCTCCTGTCTGAAGTGACAGGATCCGCAGATCATCCAGGTAAAACAAAAAACTCTCGTCTCTGTGTTTTAGGATGATCGGTATGCGTTCTCTGGATGTTAAACAACAGATCCAAGAACGGTCTCACCCCTCCGATCCGTGAGTAAAAACCCTCGTGTTTTCTCTCCCTTGGGGAACTCTGTAGATTACTTTTATCAGAAAACACTTGGATTTCTGCATTTAGGGAAGAGAATCAGTCTGATGATGATGACGGGACCGTTTATATAACTCCTCTGAATGGAGGGGTTCGGGTTGCAAACTGTAACTTGTACCATTTGCATAAACCCTGTCCATCCATCTGAAAAACGGCGAGCATGTTTAGCCACTCTACGTAACGTTCGTGGATGAACGTGCGTTAATGATGCGTCATGTTTTGTACGGCTGTCAGCAGTCCGTCCCTCAACCGCCGTCATGCGTCGCGGGAATGTTTTCTGTGTGACCCCGGGCGAGACTTGAGCTGAAGGCGAAGCGTGTGACAGCTGATGACGCGGTGAGCTGCGCGTTTGACGTCGCTGTGCGAACGTTGAAAGGCGGAGGGCGTGACTTCATTTACACCGTGCTGTTGGAGTGAAGGCTGCTTAGCCCCGCGGGAGCACACGTTGTTCTCTGGAGGGACGCGCGCCGCTCTCGCTGGAGGGGCGCGCGCTGGAGGGAGACTCATTACCGGGTTCTTCGGCTGCTTCACGTTTAAGCTGCGGTGAGCTGCCGAAAGCTGAGAGAGAAGGACCCCCACCCGGACCAGCCTGCGGACCACATTTATACCGATGTGAGCTGGTTAGCGCCGGCAGCTGTGTGCGCCAGCATCAACGCAGCACCGTTGAATGGAGGCTGTCATCTTAGTGTTCGACTCGTCATGTCAAGAGCGGCGGTGAATTAAAAACCCTATTTAAGGACACCGGCTCATGTGGAGGCTGTTCCATCCCACGAGTGCGAGTTGACACCGCTTGAGTGAGGATCGTGCAGTTCTAGTTGGTAATGAGTTATTTTCGCTTACCGTTGTGCCGTGATCGACCCGTCATGTCTAGAGCGACGGTGAGTTTAAAAAACCTTTATTTAAGGACACCGGCTCATGTGGAGGCTGTTCTGTGATCGACTCATCATGTCTAGAGCGATGGTGAGTTTAAAAACCTTTATTTAAGGACACCGGCTCATGTGGAGGCTGTTCTGTGATCGACTCATCATGTCTAGAGCGACGGTGAGTTAAAAAACCTTTAATTAAGGACACCGGCTCACGTGTGGAGGCTGTTCTGTGATCGACTCGTCATGTCTTAGAGCGACGGTGAGTTAAAAACCTTTATTTAAGGACACCGGCTCGTGTGTGGGGCTGTTTCATCCCACGAGTGCGCTCTTATGTGTGCGGCCGCTGTGAGCTGATCCGGGCTTACAGACTGGCTAAAAAACAGACACTTGGATCATTAATGATGATTTATTTCAACTTTCGTGTCACTTTTACACACACCCTCCGGAGACCGTCATTTGAGAGCTTTCTCTCTCATGAGCTCTGCGATTGTTTGCCCAGAGCGCTGTCTTGCAGGCGAACTCTGGGGAAACGCTGAGCTGCAGGCTGCCGGAGTGCAGAGGGCTGGATTCTGACGGGCGGGGCTGGTGGTGGAACTCAGCGAGAGCCGCGGCCGTGGAAAAGTCGAAAACTTGCTCGCGACGGTCCCTCCAGCGGGGACGGGGTGGGCCGCGCGGCTTGATGAGGTGGCGAACAGCTTTTGGCACCTCCTCCGACTGTTTCACTTCGCCAGCATGGTTTGAAGCTGCTCTGAACAGCGCGTCCGCGATGGGCTTCATCAGGTCTTGTGCAGATTCTCCGGCAGCGAGGGGAGTAACGAAGCCAGGTGGATCGTTGGGTCATCGTCCTCCGCGCTGCAGTCCCCGACAAGGCAAACCGTGGGAGAGGCACACATGTTGAGCTGGCGTCAGCTGCTTACAGAGGGAGATCTTCGTCTCCAAGGCAGGTCTGCGGCCTTCAATCCCTTGGACATGCTATATGCTAGCAGCGCACGTTGTTGCTAGCTGCGGCTGCCTGAAAAAACACGTCGGTGGGCTCGATTGGAGAGCGTGGTCGCCGTCTGTGTTCCTCCGGAGGGACGGGACGCTGCTCCGACCTGGGCAGCTTCGCTCCGGAAGCTTCCGCGAGGCTTGG